TGCACAAAGCAAGGTCCATAAATACATGGATGAGTGAGTTTGGGGTGGAGGAACTTGACTGGTCTGCATAGAGTCCTGACCACAACTTGATAGAACACCTTTGGGATGAATTAGAGCGGAGACTGTGAGCCAGGCCTTCTTATCCGACATCAGTGGTACAAATGACCTGACAAATGTGCTTCTGGAAGAATGGTCAAACATTCCCATAGACACCCTCCTAAACCTTGTGGACGGCCTTCCCAGAAGTGTTGAAGCTGTTATAGCTGCAAAGGAGGAGGAAAGTGGAGTCATCCATACAGTATACCTACCCGGGTTAAAAGGGAAAGGTGGTATTTGACCTATGCTATTTGGGTCATAAAAGGAGGCGAGCGTATATATGTATGTCTCTGGTGGAGGAGCACCTATAGGAATATATGTGGATATAAACAATAAAGAGCACCTGTTTTGTGAACAAATTATAAACGCACGGATCAAGCACATATTATGGACTTTTAAGTTGTATTTAATGTATTCATCATTGTTGCATAATCACATGGTTTGGCTTTCATATATAAGGTTATAGAGAAATATGCGCGGCACTATTTTATGACATATCTTTTGTGTGTGGAAACGCATGTAAGTGTCAGCAGCACTGGTATACACAGGAATCGGAGGAGTTATTTGTTGCTCTGAAGTTGTATTTGTACTCCCTTTCACCTTTATTGGATCTCTGAGGCGCTTCCCTTCAGCCCTACTGGATCAGGGGGTGCCTTTGATTTCTGGAAGCACTTTTCGCACATTTTGTTGACTTTTGTTTTTTTTTAACGCTTGAGCGCAGTTAATTTGCATATGATGGACTTTTATTTTTGTTGCTCACTTTTATTTTTATTTATTGTGTTAACCAATTCAATACCGAGCAATTTTACACCTTCCTGCCCAGGCCAGTTTTCAGGTTTCAGCGCTCTCACACTTTGAATGACAATTGCGTGGTCATACAACATTGTACACAAACTAAAATTTTATCATTTTCTTCACACAACTAGAGTTTTCTTTTGGTGGTATTTAATCACCCCTGGGGTTTTTATTTTTTGCTAAATTAACAAAAAAAGGCCAAAAATTTTGAAAAAAAACACACGTTTTTCTTTGTTTCTGTTATAAAAGTTTACAAATAAATAATTGTTCTTCATAAATTTAGGCCGAGATGTATTCTGCTACATGTCTTTGGTGAAAATAACCCAAATTAGGATGTATTTTTTAGTTTGTAGGAAAGTTATAGAATTCACAAACTATGGTATAGATCTGAATATTGATCAATCCTGAAGTACTGACAGCCAATCTAATTTCTTGAGGTCCAAGAATGTCAGAACAGTACAGATATCCCCCAAATGACCCCTTTTTGCAGAGTAGACAGTCTGACGTACTTCATAAGAGGCATGGCAAGTTTTTTGAAGTTGTATTATTTTTTTTGTCATAATTGTTCGGAAAATGAAAAAAAATTAAAAAAAATTATTTTCACTATTTTTTTTTTTACATATTGTCACCAGTGCAGTACAGCGTCATCATATAACTGGCATGGTGGTGATCAGGGACACTGACTGGTGACAGTATGAAAAAAAAAATATATATATATATTTATTATTATTTGTTATTAATTTTTTAAGATTTTTTTTTTCATATTTCACTATGACCAAAGTAATCAGTATTTTTTTTTTTTTTTTTTTTTTTTTTTTTACACAATTTGTTTATAGCAAAGAATTACTTTGCTATAAGCAAGCATTTACCTGAATGACATCGATTCATTCATGTTTTTTTTTTTTTTTTTTTTTGTGTGCTTAGCTGTGATTTGGCCACAGCTAATCACATGACATGTACATGTGATTAGCTGTGACCATTCACAGCTAGACACTAGTATACAATGGATGGCATGAATGAAGCCATCTATTGTATACAACTGTCATGTAACCTGCTGTGATTGGTCACAGCAGGTCACATGGTACCGGCAACGGGGGCCGGTACTCAGATCTGTCATCGGCCGTGTCCAAGGTACACGTCCGGTGACAGATCGCGCCGCTGCACGGCTCTGCAGGAGGAGCGCAATCTGCGCATGTGCGGGAGGATGCCATATGGCGTCCACCCAGAACGCTGATGACATTTGCCGGCCGCCATTCGGCCATAGGGCGGGCGGCAAATGGTTAATTATTGGTTTAGAAGAGCGCTGCGCTTTGTGAATTACAGCATGGAGGATATATAATTTAAGATTTGTGCTGAAATAATCAGGCTAACCAGCACTCTTTGACATAACAAAAATTTGATGCGCCCCCCTTATTTGCAACACACTCTCATGCATTTTGGCACACTGCAACCAGGAGCAGCAGCATTTTGGCAGAAAAAATGCTTGACGTGTGTAAATGCGTGCCAAAGCTGGGTGTGTTTACCACTTAAGCGTTAATTTGTTTCATTGGCCTGATTAAATTATTTTTCTGGCCAATTAATGAATTAACACCCAAGCCCTCGATGAGCCTAAACGCATTACGTGCATTTACAAGTGGCAAGTGTTTTTTCTGCCAAAACGCTACTGCCAGGAGGAAAAGCATTTTAGGAGATTAGGAGCAAAGGCCAAACGTCCTGGAGCTTAATCACACAGTAATCTCCGCTGGTTGGCACACTACTACATTTATATTTTAGGATCTAGTTTGAAACGTTTGATAAAATATATCTAACCTGGATTAGCTCGGCTGCTGGTTTCCTTCGCTTTTCGAAATGTTTTTGTCGATGTTGTTCTTGTACCTTAAGAGCCAAACCAGAGCCCAAAATCCCCTAAAACAAACAAAAACAAAAAATGATTCTCGACAATGTCTAGATAAACCAAAAAATAAGTATTCTGCCAATCTGGGTAATTCTAAAAAGATATTTGTTGTTTTATTTTTCAAAAACTGCCCAATATAATTTCAAGAACACAAGAGAAACAAAGTCTTCTTTTCAATAAAAAAATTAATTACCCTGCAATTTTAAATATAAAAATTTCGCTTTTCACTCACCTTCTCCGTGGCACTGTCCTCCACTAAACAGTGTTTTTCCTCTGGCTTGAATGACAGCCAGAGTCACAGCGTTTAGGTAATCAGGAACACACGCTCCTGGTTCCCGATCATTAGCATGAGCAGGGCTGCTGTTAGAAATCACAAAGCTGTGCACCCTACATGGCAGCCCCCCAAACACCCCTCCCCCTTCCTGGGAATATCAAATGATATTTTCGCTAATGCCACGACCATGATGCCATGCCTATCAGCCATGGCAGAAAGTATCCAACACAACAAACACTTTACTCCTGCGCTAGGAAAGGACTCAGTAGACCCAATAGGAATGTTCTGGAATATGCACTGCTTGCTGCCCTCAACAGACTGGGGTGGTCCAAATACACTGGATACAAATGGAGAAACAGAAAAAGGGCGCACCGACCTAGTGCATGATTGTTTAAAATAATTTATTGAAGAAACAAAAAGGTATCATACTCACAATGGACATAATAACACAGGCATGTGAAACTGAACAAGTGTATGATCCAAACAACATCTGAGTCCATACGATGGAACCCTGGATGACCAACTGGCTAACACGTTTCAAGGACACAACCTCTTCCTGAGAGCCAACACTACAGGAGTCTCTGAGGAAGAGGTTGTGTCCTCGAAACGCGTTAGCCAGTTGGTCATCCAGGGTTCCATCGTATGGACTCAGATGTTGTTTGGATCATACATCTTGTTCAGTTTGACATGCCTGTGTTATTATGTCCATTGTGAGTATGATACCTATTTTTTGTTTCTTCAATAAATTATTTTAAACGATAATGCACTAGGTCAGTGTGCCCTTTTTCTGTTTCTCCATTTGTATCCATGGCAGAAAGTATACCCTCATATAGCAGGGCCCATTCAAGTGAATAGCACTGCTCTGCAAGCACGCGGTTTTGGTGGGTTAGCGCGGGTTCAAGCAGGCAATATGTCTCCTCAATGCTCTCTGGAGAGCGATCCAAATGCTGACTGTTCTTCAGACAGCAAAGCATACGTGAATGAGCCTTTTTTTATTATTATGTTTAAGAAATTAAAATTTTTAAAGTTTTTTCTTTAGAATTGTATTATCTACTTATTTAAAAAAAAAAAATTTTTTTAACTGACCTGTTGGGGGGCTTTGGTGAATTACCACATGTCTAAACAGACCCCTGATGTCTCACATTTGAGACTGAGAAAGGAACTGAGGGCATAGGTTCATCAGTCCCTTTTTCTGCAGCCTCAGCTGCACAGAAGAATGAATAGGAAGCGCTTGGAGGCTTTCTGGTCATTCACAAACTGAAGCATTGTAAAGACAGTTTACTATGCTTCAGTGATGAAAGGACACAGCAGCAATTGGTGACAATCACTCACTGTGTTCATTCAGGAAAGGAAGGGCCAGTAATTATGGCATACATACCAGGCCCTGCTCTCCATACTGGAACATCCCCCTGTATGCCCTCAGCAACTGTCAGTGGGAGAGGAGGAAAGCTGGCAGCGCTGCAGGAAAGTGGGGGGGGGTGGGGGACACAGGGGGGCCCAACAGCAGGTGGAAGGGAAAACAAGAACCGATCCCCTTGCAGCACGGCCGGAGAGAGAAAGCCGGCAGTGCTAAAAGGGGATCCTCAAGCGTCTCAAAACCGTACAAGCCTGGCAGGTTTCCGGGCCTCCCTTTTGAACTGATGAGGCCCGAGCCCAGTAGAGGAGGGCCGGCTGTACTGCTTTATCAGCAGCCCTGAGTATGAGACCCAGAGCTGTCACTGACAGCTCAGTCTCTGCACTGGGAGCACAGTCTCCGCACAAACATAGCAGCACATATATGCGGCCCCACCGATAAAGACCCACTTTTGCGAAGCTGCATATACAGTATGTGTACACTTGGCAGGAAGGGGTTAAACAAAAATATAATACAATCTCTGAACGAAATTGACTGCAACAGAGACCAGTGTTATCTTTTGGTGATAACGCATAATTTCTGGACATTTAGTTTACCGCGTGGAAAAAACTTACAGCAGGAAGTGCAAAAAATGAAACACCAATCAAAGAAAAGGTAGCCGCAATCAGTCGTCCCTCCCAGGTCTTCGGAGTCTTGTCCCCATAGCCAATTGTAGCGAGAGTGATCTACAAACCAATTGCAACAATTATAGCCATCAATATTTATATTATTTTGATAATACCAAATTTCTAATTACAAAAACTACCATACTATTGTCTATTTGTTTATTTCAGGTACTTATATAGCGCTGTCAATTTACTCTGCGCTTTACATATATATTGTACATTCACATCAGTCCCTAACCCTCAAGGAGTGTACAATCTAAGGTCCTAACTCACATTCATACATACACATACTGGGGCCAATTTAGACAGGAGTCAATTCACCTACCAGCATGTCTTTGGAGTGTGAGAGGAAACCAGAGTACCCAGAGGAAACCCACACAAGCACAGGGAAACATGCAAACTCCAGGCAGGGTGTACCATTACTGGGATTTGAACCAATGACCCTAGTACTGCCAGGCAGAAGTGCTAACCATTTAGCCACTGTGCTAATACTATGATAAATGTGATGTCTGTCAGCGGGAAAGGTTTTAAACTAGTAGACATCACAGCTAGTCCATACATTTGTTGTTTACTGTGAAAAGTAATCTCACTTCTCTGCGTCTCTTCTACCTAGCAGCTGTCCAAGTTTTGACATGTATGAAGAGGGATGACTATGAATAGACACGATCCATGATATGTCTGGATTAAAACTAAATGCCAGCCAACAACGTCATACATAGGTGAACTACATATATGACCAAACTACTCTTAACTCATGTCAGCAGTATTAGACTGACACCTTACTTCAATGCCACAGAGCCTGGCACCACTGGTCCTCCAAGTCCTGCTGTACAGGGGACTGCAGGAAGCTAAAATAAATACTTTTTTATGGTACCTGTGTGAGCTGGGGCAACAATCATTGGCTCACAACTTTGAGGTAGTAATTGTGCTGCCTTAGGTAAAATTTGTATTTGTGCTGCTTTGGTTTCCTGCATGGTGGTTATCCCAACCTCTACATTATTTTGCTGAGCCTCCATACTTTTCTGGAGTGCCTCACTGGCCAGGCATTGTCCTGCATTGGTCTGCTCCTATGCTGCATTAGCCTGGCAGTTACTTCATTATTTCTCCACTTCTAGGTCCAAAGGGTATATGTTCTTAAATTTTTGTTTCTATGTCTGCCCGCATGCTCCACCAGTTGTGATGTTTGAGAAATTAGCAGGATTGTGGGACACATTTTGCAACAAAATAGACCTTTTTGTTATTAACACCTTCCCACCCAGCCAGTAGCAGATTGACGGCTGGGCGGGACACTCGCCGTTGTGACTGGACATCATATGACGTCCTGTCAAAACAAGCCGCTCAAGGGGCCGCGCAGTGGCGCGATCTTTCACCAGCTGTGTCCACGGGACACAGCTGATGACATATCACTACACCGTCCAGTTGCCTGTGTCATAAGACCACTGTGACCAATCATAGCAGATCACATGTCAATTGTATACAATGGATGGCTTCCTGTCATGCCATCCATTGTATACAATTGTGTTAGCTGTGATTGATCAAAGCATTCACATGGTACAGACAGGGCCAATCACAGCCCATCTGTATCATGTGATCAGCTCTGCCTAATCACAACTAATCACAACAAAAGACTGAATGAATCAGCTTCATTCAGTAACAATGATTGCAAATATCAGTGAAATACATTGGTATTAGCAATCATAATGTGTTAAAAAAAAATTAAATCCTGATCACTTGCCCAGAGTAGTTCAATGTTACTATGGTAACACTGTATTGCTTTGGTCACAGTGTGCTGAAAAATAAAATAGTAAAAAAAAGAAAAAATTTAATAAAAAATTAAATTAGGGCCCGGGGTCAGTAGGGGGCCCCATGAGATGCCCCTGGTACCTTTTTCATAGGCTTTTTTGAGTTTGGGCAAGGACACAGGGACCCCATGATCCCCTATTGCCCGGGGGCCCCATGAGTTGTCAGTCCGCCCCTGGTGCTGTGTGCTGTTTTATGATGTTGGCTGTGTTTGTGCATCACTGCATGCACACTGCTTTACGCGGCTGTGCTATGCAGAGCCATACAAAGCAGTGTTCAGGAGCTGACAGGGGAGAGATCTGTATTGTTTACATACAGGTCTCTCCCCCGTCGCAAATCCTCGGAGATCCCCAAGTGCCAGTTACTCTCTGATGTTGAGAAAAGTGGCGATAACATATGAAAATTTCACTTGATTGCACTACTCACCAACCCCCACCAAAGGGCATCGGCATACGTTTCAAAATCCTCTTTGGTTTCCCCTTTCTCGTTCATTTCATGGTCGTCTTTCTCCACCAAGTAAACAAGAAAGGAGGACAAGATGAGCGTCAGGAACCCGATGTACCAGGCTGTGATGAGTTCCTGCAAGGGAATGGTATGCATGATGAGAATTGCACTGCGGGATGTACATACATACTGGAGGCATCACACAAATCAGAACACAATTGTTCATAACTATGGTGTCACTACAAATCTAAAATGTCCTAATTTACAGTTAGCCACCTGCTGGTTGCCAGTGGTAAATATAAAACACATTTTATATTTGATGTGATCTGTCTGCAGATACCAGCTACCCACTAGGGCCGGCCATACATAGGTCGAAATTCAACCGATTTTTTGTCCAAAATATGGACCTAAGAATAATCAGCCGATTTTCGTTTTGATAGTGGGTCAAGGTCACCGGCTGATTTTTGTGGTTCCTCCCCTTTTCGGTGATCGGGCACGTTTGAAAATTTGTGAAAAACGACCGATTTTCGACTCAATGATGGTCAAATCGTACGATCGTTTTTCTGAAAAGAATATGTGCATGAGCCGTGACCTGGAAGGAACAGAAGTTTCTCCTGCTATATGGGGTGAACTTTATGACTTGGTCGGCCGATTTTCAAAATCATTGACTGCACCATCCGATTACCGAGCGAACGACGTTTTCGATTTTCGGACGGGAAAAAAAAACGTTCGGAATTCGAACCATGTATGGCCTGCATAAGTACACTTTAATCAATCAAGTAATAACATGCACCTGGGGTAAAATCCCACATTTCCAACTGGAGACTGACCTTTCAATTAGTAACGTCAAGCACAGGGGCGGACTGACCATCTGGAAACTCGGGCACTGCCCGAGGGCCCGGGGTCAGTAGGGGGCCCCATGAGGACATTCTGACACTGCGGGGGAACTGACTTGGTGTCACTAACATCTCCAGTGACACAAATACAGCGATCAGTGCTAATAAAAAGCACTGACACTGTACTAATGACACTGGGCAGGAAAGGGATAACATCTGGGTGATCAAAGGGTTAACTGTGTGCTGTGCAGGGGCGGACTGAGCATTTGGAAACTCGGGCACTGCCCGAGGGCCCGGGGTCAGTAGGGGGCCCCATGAGATGCCCCTGGTACCTTTTTCATAGGCTTTTTTGAGTTTGGCCAAGGACAAAGGGGCCCCATGATCCCCTATTGCCCGGGGGCCCCATGAGTTGTCAGTCCGCCCCTGGTCAAACAACCAAAAATGTATTATTTTGCTGCTTACCAATCATTAGATGTGGTGGCTGGATTTGTTTTCTGGCCAGTAGCACACCTCCTGTATTAGAGCGCTCCCCCACTCTGGATGACGGAGCATAGGGGGCACCATTGTTAGTATGGAGGGGGAGGGGAGTATTAGATGGACTAGCATATTTAAATACACTAACAAACTGAAGCCAAATGTCAGCTAATACTTTATTCCCTTTTGGGAATAAAGGTTATACATAAATAAAAGATGACCATTGAAAGCACCCTGCTCAGTTGTAAATGGTTTGTCCCATCACTGTAACTCATACATTTCAGTGGAGAGCTTCTTTTGAAAAACAACAGACTTACTGGCTGGATCACCAGATTGAAAATAGAAGAAAGCAAGCCTAAAAAAAGAAAATGAATGCAGTCATCACATCTAAGAATTGGTATGCAAGATGGGCTGCAATATAGTAAATGTTTGCTTTTGGGTTTAAACTATTTACACTTTAAGCCCTGGTTCACACGGAATTTGCAGCGTTTTCAGTGCGAATTCCGCACAGCATCAGAAACGCACCGCGTTCATGCGAACCGCTGCGGGTGTGTATGTTATGTTAATAACACTCCGAAAGCGGTCTGTAAAACGCGGTGCGATATGTAGAATCGGATCGCATAGGTGTGAATACCCATGTGATCCGATTCTAGTGCGGATCCAAAAAAAGGGTCCTGCCCCTTTTAGTGTGGGTGCGGTGCGATTAGAGCCATACAAAATGTACGCCTCCAATCACACCGCATACAAATCGCATGTGATGTGTACAGGTATGCGGTGCGGTTCCCGTACGAATCACATGCGATATACCGCACCGCATATACAGCATAACTTAAAAAATACAAAATTCAGCTTACATTTTTACTTGTGATTTTCTGAAAACTCTAAAAAACAAGGTTTTTCCATGTAAGGAGAGGGCTGGAGAGTTATGTTTACCATAACTGCCCCTTTGTGATCATTGTAAGCACCCCTGTCAGTGGTAAATGGTTTGCCTCAATCTCCTCTAACTGCTACATCTGCAGGAGAGCTTTTTCCACTGAAAAACAACAGACTTAGTGGCCAGATCACCAGGTAAAAATAGAAGAAAGAATGCCTAAAAAGAAAAAACTAATGCAGCCATCACATCTTAGATTGGGCAAGCTGCAATATAATGAATGTTTGCTTTTGGGTTTAATACTGCTTTAAGTTTCCACCCATGGATCATCAGACCTCCCTATGTATTTTACAGGGATTCAGATGAAAGTTGGACCGACCACATTGAGGCATCTTACACCAGTTTCAGTTTTCTCATCCCCATCACGGTTAATACTGATCCTGGATTCCATTCTAGCCCCTTTACAGCACTGACCTTGCTATGCGAACAGATGGCTGAACCCAGGAGCTTCCAGGTCCCTCCTCTCCGGTCCATACGCAGCATCCGCAGGATCTGAAGGAAACGCAAACTCCGAAGAGACGTGGCCAAGACATTTCCCTGATTTTTCCCCACGGCCACCACAGGAATGGAGGCCACCAGGACAAAAATATCTGCAAGAAAGGAAAATGACACAAGTGATTCACCACAGCAGCTTTCATGTTTCAGGGAGGCTCCTTTCTCTTGCAGCATCCTATGGAGACACCCTTGCATGCAGGGACTAGAGTTGTGACTCCCTACAATGTGTACATCAATAGAAACACACAGCCCACAGCCTAGGATGGCAAGGCACTCCCCTGCTCCTTCCTCCCTGAATGACTGGAGACTGCACTGCCCACTGTCAACTCTTTCCTGTGAAAACAGGAAGTTCAGGGAAGCAACACTGAGAGTGCGGCATTGAAAGCTGGGGTAATAATTTTAACAAATTGTTTACTGGGGAATCTTTAATTTATTGTGCTAAAGGTGGTAAAGTGTTACTAAACCCCGGACCCTGCATTCACTAAATCCGGTCTCCCGGACCCTGCATTCACTAAATCCGGTCTCCCCGGACCCTGCATTCACTATATCCGCTCTCCCCGGACCCTGCATTCACTATATCCGGTCTCCCGGACCCTGCATTCACTATATCCGCTCTCCCCGGACCCCGCATTCACTATATCGGTCTCCCCGGACCCCGCATTCACTATATCCGCTCTCCCCGGACCCCGCATTCACTATATCCGGTCTCCCCGGACCCCGCATTCACTATATCCGGTCTCCCCGGACCCCGCATTCACTATATCCGGTCTCCCCGGACCCCGCATTCACTATATCCGGTCTCCCCGGATCCCGCATTCACTATATCTGGTCTCCCCGGACCCCTGCATTCACTATATCCGGTCTCCCCGGACCCGCATTCACTATATCCGGTCTCCCCGGACCCTGCATTCACTATATCTGGTCTCCCCGGACCCTGCATTCACTATATCTGGTCTCCCCGGACCCTGCATTCACTATATCTGGTCTCCTTGGACCCTGCATTCACTATATCCGGTCTCCCCGGACCCTGCATTCACTATATCTGGTCTCCCCGGACCCTGCATTCACTATATCTGGTCCCCGGACCCTGCATTCACTATATCTGGTCTCCCACAGTACACACAACATGGAAGTGCAATTATTTTAGTAAATATAAACTGCTAAATACATTTTCTCGGCTGCCCCCATAGCAAGCTATTTGGTCTGGGGGCACCTGACAGGAGGGAGGGGCCAGTAACACCAGTGGGGACCCAAAAATAGGAGTATTGGGACTGCTATGTGCAAAACTATTACACAGAGCAGGGAAGTATAACATGTTTGTTATTAAAAAAAAAATACAAAAACTGAACCTTTAGTATCATTTTAATGACCAGTCTTAGAGATTAGATGATTAGGTCATCACTCTGCTCACTTCTCCTGTGCAGTGAGGGACAGTGGAACCTTTCCCTCTCCATGCTGTGCATGGGATTAAAATATTCCCTTAAAGTGGTTGTAAACCCTCACATGTACGTGAAGTGACTGGCCTCAGGTGACACACAGAGATAAAACAAATCCTCCTACATAAGTTGTACCAGTTTATCTGCAGCTGTCTGTTCCCTACATCCAATCAAAGTGAAGAGTTTACACAGGATCTCTCAGCTCTTAAAAGCAGGGGGTGGGAAGCTGAAGTCACATCAGTGAGGAGAGCTCTGAGAGCTGACTGGAGATAATGGACACCCCTACACACAGCACACAAGAACAGAGCTGAGGCTGTCAAATCACAGGCTGTGCCCTCCCCGCCACCATTTTTCACTTGATGTCAGGAAAACTTTTCAGAAGTGACATATGCTGATAGCAGAGGCCAAAATGTATTCTGTTACATTTATTTAGGTAAAGAAAAGGAAAGTTATACGGTCTACAAACTGTGGTATATATCTAAACATTGATCAATCCTGATTTAATGACGGCCATTTTGGAAAGTAGACAGTCCAAGGTGTTTAGTAAGAGGCATGGAGAATTTTTGAAGTTATAATTTTTGTCACAATTTTTTGGAAAATGAAAACATTTTTTAAAAATTTTTTTTTTTCACATTTCTTCTTTTTTTTTTACATATTGCCATCAGTGCAGTCCAGCCAGGGGGTGGACTGACCATTTGGAAACTCGGGCACTGCCCGAGGGCCCGGGGTCAGTAGGGGGCCCCATGAGATGCCCCTGGTACCTTTTTCATAGGCTTTTTTGAGTTTGGGCAAGGACACAGGGGCCCCATGATCCCCTATTGCCGGGGGCCCCATGAGTTGTCAGTCCGCCCCTGGTCCAGCATTATCATATAACTGGTGTGGTGGTGATCAGGGAGACTGGCGACAGTATGTAAAAAAAAAAAAGTAAAAGTTTTTTTTTTTGTTTTTTTTTAAATCACATCTTTTTACATTTTTTTTTTTTACATATTGTGACTAAAGAAATACAGTGTAATCATAGATACTCGCTGTTTTAAGTAACCATTTTTTCTGAATGAAACCCTTCATGCAGTGTGTACTATTATGATTAGCTGTGATTGGCCACAACTAATCACATGGTACTGATGGGTTGTGATTGGCCCTGTCTGTCACATGTGATCACTGTGATTAAATCACAGAGATCAGCACAATAGTACACAATAAATAGAAGCCACCCATTGTGTACATTTGTCATGTGATCTGCTGTGATTGGTCACAGCGCTCACATGGTACCGGCAGCGGCCTGGAACACTGATCTGTCAATAGGCCAGGCAGAAAGAAGTTAATGTGATACCTACATAAGCATGTTTATACAAAAACTCAAATGCGTTAAATAAACACAATCGTTATTTGGAAAGATGCTGAGTGTATCTTGTGTTTGTTCCCAACTGCAGTAGATAAAGTGGTTTTAAAGGCTCAAGGATTTTACCTTCATGCATTCTATGCATGAACGTGAAAAAAACTTCTCTGTGCAGCATCCCCCCCAGCCCCCCCCCCCCCACTAATGCTCACCTAAGCCCCCTCTGGATCCAGCGATGTGCACTGGAAATCAGCTATCCTCTCTTCATTGGCTGAGACAGCAGCCATTGGCTCCCGCTGCCATCAATCACAGCCAGTGAGCCAATGAGAAGAGGGCGGGGGGTGGGGCCAAGCCACGGCTCTGTGTGTGAATGGACACATGAAGCGGCGGCTGGGGAGTGCGCATGTTTGGGTGCCCCCCATAGCAAGCTGCTTGCTGTGGGGGCACCCAACAGGAGGGAGGGGCCTGGAGGACCCGAGAAGAGGAGGATCTGGGCTGCTCTGTGCAAAACCACCGCACACAGCAGGCAAGTATAGACATGTTTGTTATTTAAAAAAAACAAATTAGGCCTTTAGTATCACTTTAATAATTTGGAACCATCATTATTCAGTTCGTAGTTGCCGATCAATAACATTTCCAATGTTTCTGTTGATTTTTTTAGTTATTTTTTATCATTTTTTTTTGTAAAAAAACAAAAAAAAAAAAAAAAATATATATGAAACAAAAATTCTAAATAAAATATTCTTGATCAGGTTTATAATTCTAGTCATCAGTTCCTCCCAGGGGATGTGATTATTTTAAATGATTTAAATTATGAATATTCAAACAAAACAACCCTGATAAAAAAGAAAAAACTATAGGATTTTACTGCAATTCAACGTATTTAAAAAGATCCACTTTTATTGATAGAAAAGGTAAAATATTTAGATTTAAACAGATCAAAAACAAATTTTAAAAAAGTTAGATAGGAACCAACTAACTTACCAGCATTTCTTTGCAGTGTGGGAGGAAACTGGAGTACCTGGAGGAAAACCCACGCAGGCACAGGGAGAACATGCAAACTCCAGGCAGCTGGTGCCATGGTTGGGATTTGAACCAACGACCCTAGTGCTGCCAGATGGAAGTGCTAATCATTCAGCCACTGTGCTGCATTATTGTATTCATTAATATAGTTTGGAATCAAAGTAATATCCCTAGTTTTGGCAATGTTTTCCCCTTCATTGCATTTTTTTAAATTGTAATTGGTTCTCCTGGAGAGCTATTTACCTCCAGAGTTCCTCTAATTTCTTCTTTTGTCAGAAACTGGAACTAAAACTTTGGTTTGCACAGAACAATTGCAGAACTGTCACAGAAATGCCTGCACAGTCAGCTGTTCCTATTTTAACCACTAGATGGCAGGGTAAGACTTCTTTTCCTTAACCACTTGCCCTCCCAAGGATTTACCCCCCCCCCCCCCCCCCTTTCCCATCCAGGTTATTTTTTTGTGATACGGAGCTGAGTTAGTTTAACTGACAATTGCGCGGTCATGCAACGCTGCACCCAAATGAAATTTACACCCTTTTTTTCCCCACAAATTGAGCTTTCTTTTGGTGGTATTTGATTGCCTGTGCGTTTTTTATTTTTTGCGCTATGAGAAAAAAAAAAAGGCCGACAATTTTGAGAAAAAAAACATTATTTTTTACTTTTTCTATTAAATATGTCCAGTAAAAAAAAATAGAAAAAAAATCTAAATTTTGTCATAAATTTACTCCAAAAATTTACATGGCATTCTGCCACGGGGGGGGGGGGGGGGGGCTGACTTGGTGTCACTGACATCCCCAGTGACACCAATACAGTGATCAGTGCTAAAAAAAAAAAAAAAAAAGCACTGACACTGTATTAATGACACCGTGCAGGAAGGGGTTAAGATAAGGGGCGATCAAAGGGTCAACTGTGTGCTGGGAGCAGGGGCGGACTGACTATTTGGAAACTCGGGCACTGCCCAAGGGCCCGGGGTCAGTAGGGGGCCCCATGAGATGCCCCTGGTACCTTTTTCATAGTCTTTTTTGAGTTTGGGCAAGGACACAGGGGCCCCATGATCCCCTATTGCCCAGGGGCCCCATGAGTTGTCAGTCCGCCCCTGGCTGGGAGTGTTTTACTAGAGGGCGGTGTCAGTGTGCTTCACTGTAAGCACACTGCTCTGGATGGCTGTGCTGTGCACAGCCATCCAAAGCAGTGTGCCCGAGCTGACAGGGAGAAGAACTGTTAGCAAAAAAAACAGTTCTCCTCGTTGGAGATCCTCGGAAATCACCTGGTGCCGGCGAGTAATCACCAGCTGGGACCTGGTGATTGACAGCCGTGGCCTTGAATGGCGGTGTGGGTAGGGAGTGCGCCCCCTGCCCAGAAATGCAAAATCACGTATATATACCCGTGCTGTCCTGTAGCAGTATTTCTGCTATACGGCGTTTGGGAAGCGGTTAAATTGGAAGTAAATTCTATTTTTGTAAGGGCTAACAGGCAGGTACTTTTTTTTTTAACAACAGATGCTGTCCTTCTATGGGCTCATGTACACTGCAGCTGCTAAAGTGACGTTCAGGAGCTATTGTGCGTTTTTTTCAGCAGCCCCTGACCTCTCCCTAATGTTTTCCGATGTGTCCATGTGCACATCGTCGTTTACAGGCAGTTGAGGTCACAGGCATTTTTTTGAAAGCACAAAAAATCGCGTTCAGGAGTAGAGTTTACCGGCGTTTCAAACGCCAAATGCTTGTAACCGCGTGTAAACGCTTGTAACCGTGTTTATGCGCTTTTGCATTTAGATGCATTTTTGGGCTGTTCCATATCCAGATGCTGTCCAGAGACTTTTTTTTCATCATCAGAAATGCAGGCAAAGCATTTTCCATGTATTCAAATGGACCCGGTACACCGGCGCAGTCAGTTCCAGGTTTGGCATGCAGGAAAAAATGGTAGAACGTACCGCATTATTTCTGCACGGGACTGTACTGGAACACATCAAAACACAGCAGAAAAGCACAAGGAGTGTTGTGAGACATTACAGGCTTTACAGCGCTATGTAGCTCCTCCCACAGCACCAAGCATGGTTCACAAGCCACTTTTACTACAGTCACAACACCCATCAGAAAGTAGTGCTCTCTCTGCTTCTGCTCTCTCTACTGCTCACAAAATGTCTGAAATTGTTCATTATTTACTATTTTTCAGTGCATTCTGGGCATTTGGGAGGGTCTCGTGAGGTTATCTTTTAAAAACGCTTCTAAACGCAGCTAAACGCGCATAAACTCGGTAGTTAAACGCGGCTAAACATGCATAAATTCGGTAGGTACACTCGGTAGGTAAACGCGCATGAACGCGGTAGGTAAACTCGGTAGGTAAACGCGGCTAAACACGCATAAATTCGGTAGGTACACTCGGTAGGTAAACGCACATGAACACGGTCGGTAAATTCGGTAAGTAAACGCGGCTAAACACGCATAAACTCGGTAGGTACACTCGGTAGGTAAACGCGCATGAACGCGGTAGGTAAACTCGGTAGGTAAACGTGGCTAAACGCGCATGAACGCGGTAGGTAAACGTGGCAAGTAAACGCGGCTAAGCACGCATAAACTCGGTAGGTACACTCGGTAGGTAAACGCGCATGAACGCGGTAGGTAAACTCGGTAGGTAAACGTGGCTAAACGCGCATGAACGCGGTAGGTAAACGTGGCAAGTAAACGCGGCTAAACACGCATAAACTCGGTAGGTACACTCGGTAGGTAAAAGCGTATGAACGCGGTAGGTACACTCGGTAGGTAAACGCGTATGAACGCGGTAGGTACACTCGGTAGGTAAATGTGGCTAAACGCGCATGAAGGCGGTAGGTAAACTTGGTAAGTAAACGCGGCTAAACGCACATAAACTCGGTAGGTACACTCGGTAAGTAAACGTGGCTAAACGCGCATGAAGGCGGTAGGTAAACTTGGGTAAAGTAAACGCGCATAAACTCGGTAGGTACACTCGGTAGGTAAACGCGTATGAACGCGGTAGGTAAACTCGGTAGGTAAACGCGCATGAACGCGGTAGGTAAACGTGCATGAACGCGGTAGGTGAACTCGTTAGGTAAACGTGTATGAACGCGGTAGGTGATCTCGGTAGGTAAGCACGGCTAAATGCGCATAAACACAGTAGGTAAACACGGCTAAACTGCCGTTTTTAACCTACGTTTTCTAGAAGTCAGTTTCCATCGTTCAGAAAAGTTTTTCAAACGCCCCGTGTACATGAGCCCTATAAACCCTTACCTACCTGAGTGCCGCTCATCTGGGACAATGCTTACCCTCCCCCCTTCAATCCAGCGGTCTTTGTGACACGGTGCCAGTCACGCCTTTCTATACAGCACATGGGTGCCCATGACCCATTCTTTGCTATGGGCAAGCCTTATTGCATGGGACCACTGGAGACCACCACAAGTATGACTTACCCAACCTTCTCTGAGGAAAGACTGCCGATCTGGGAGGAGGGTCAGTGATATCCAGAGTGGGCTGCACTCATGGGGGAGGGGTTAAGGGGAATTATTAACCACTTGCCTACCGGGCACTTATACCCCCTTCTTTACCAGGCCAATTTTCAGCTTTCAGCGCTGTCACACTTTCATTGACAATTGAGCAGTCATGCAAGTGGTGGTATTTAATCACCGCTGGGCACTTTACTTTTTGTGCTATAAACAAAAAAAGTGCAAAAAATTTGAAAAAAAAAAAAAAAGTTGCTTTGTTTCTATTATAAAATTTTTCAAACAGGTAATTTTTCTCCTTCACTGATGTGCGTTGATGAGGCAGCACTGATGGGCACTAATAGGCGGCACTGATGGGCACTGATAGGCAGCACTGATAAGCAGCACTAATGAGGTGGCACGGATAGGTGGCACTGATAGGCAGCACTAATGAGGTGTCACAGATAGGCGGCACTGACTGGCATCACTGCTGGGCTCTGACTGGCAGCACTGCTAGGCATTGACTGGCGCAACTGCTGGGCACTGACTGGCACAACCGTGGGGCACTGACTGGTGGCACTGACTGGCAGCACTGCTGGGCTGCACTGATGGGCACAGGTAGGTGGCACTTCTGGGCACAGGTGTGTGGCACTGCTGGGTGGCACAGGTGGGTGCACTGCTGGGCACAGGTGGGCGGAACTGGTGGGAGGCACTGCTGGGCAACGATCATCAGGGCACTGATCATCTGTGCCCTGATGATCGGTGCTGATCCCCGCTCTGACAACTGCCGGTTTCTCGGCAGTACTTTCCTCACGCTCTGACAGCGTGAGGAAAGTGCAGCCTAGAAACCGGCAATTGCATTTCCTGGTGATCAGCATGTCATTGGACACGGCTGATCACGTGCTAAAAGGCCGCTGTGATTGGCCTTTTACCACATCACGTGATCAGCTGTGTCTGTAGGACACAGCGATCATGGAGATCGCTGGGGGCGCGCAGGAGAGCGCGTTCTGCGAGGACATCATATGACGCCCTCCCAGAACTGGCCGGCCCCAGTGTAGCCGTCATTCGGCTATCTGCGGTTGGCAAGTAGTTAAAGTTCAAGTTGTCTTTTAAAAGCAAAAACTGTGATTTGCCCATTCCAGGTTTGCTTCAAAGTGGCTGTAAATCTCAGACATGAAATATGAACAAAGCATATTCCTCTATAGTGTGTACCTGTCTCAATCCAGAGCACTAAGTGTCATTTCTCTCTGCTGCCTCCTTCCTCTGCTCTCAGTATTAATCACTTCTGATAAGTTTTCCTGACACCAAGAGCAAAATTGTGACAGGGAAGGGGCCTCCAGCAGCTTGACAGCCTCAGCTCTGTACTTGTGTGCTGTGTGGAGGGGGCGGTGTGTTTTCCCTCCAATCAACTCTCAGAGCTTTCCTCACTGAGCTCTGCAAAGTGTAACTTCAGCTCTCCATCCCCTTTTTTCTGAACTCTCAGACAAGGTTTAAAATTCTGCACTTTTAAAGGATTCTTTTCTCCAAATTGCCTTTTAAACAGGTACAACTTATGTAGGAGGATTTGTTTCATCTTTGTGTATTACCTGAGGCCAGTCCCTTTACTTGGTATATGTAACGGTTTACAACCACTTTAATTCTCAACCCCCCCAGCATATACCTTTACCTTGTTCCCCACTGATCCTTTCAGCCCTATGAGCCAAAGGATATACCCCTTAATTTTGGGTATGGAGAACCATGTGCAACTTGCTCCATGTGACACCGCTGGGTCAAGCAGCACCATTACCTTGGGAATCTATATACCGTACCTGTCCAGGGATTTTTTTTCTCAGAGAATAGGAACTCCCTCCTTCTGATTTTCCACCCCCTACCCACCTCTGAGCACTGTCCCATGGTTCTACCCCCTACCCACCTCTGAGCACTGTCCCGTGGTTCTACCCCCTACCCACCTCTGAGCACTGTCCCATGGTTCCACCCCTCTAACCACCTCAGAGCAAAAACCCTTGGTTCCACCCCCTACCAACCCCCGAGCACCATCCCTTGGTTTCTCCGACACCCCCTACCACCAACCTCCGAGCACCATCCTTTGGTTCGAACCCCCCCCCCCCAGCACCGTCCCTTGGTTCCACCCCCTACCCATCCTCCAGCACCGTCCCTTGGTTCCACCCCCTACCCACCTCCCAGTATAGGTCCTTTTAGAGAATACAGAGCCAAGTATAATTTTGTATGGAATTTGTTAATGATAACAAGAAAAGTAGTAAAATAGATCCCCTATAGCCAGAAACATTAGCCCCCCTCCCCCCAGCAACAATAATTTCCCCCAGCAACATAGACCTCCAGCAGCAACAACAGATCTCCCATCAGCAAGCACCAATAGTCCCATCCCTCAACAGTAGATCCCGTCCTGCAACCGTTGACCTCCCAGCAACAATAGATCCTTCTCCAGCAACAATAGATCACCATGCAAAAATAGATCCCCCAGCAGCCAGCATCAATAGACCCTCCAGTACACCCCAGAACCCTTTGCCATTGCATAAATTCAGTGCTAGAGATGCTATGGTTCCCCACGTTCCCACTGAAAAAAAAAGTCCTGTTCCTGTCTGAGCTATGACTTCATCCACTCTTCGTTCACACAGTGCAATGCTTCACTTCCAGCAGCAGAGGGAGCCGTAGGGAATCTGAATGCTTCTACAGGTGAAACTCGAACAATTAGAATATGGTGCAAAAGTTCATTTATTTCAGTGCAGCAACTTAAAAGGTGAAACTAATATATGAGATAGACTCATTACATGCAAAGCAAGATAGTTCAAGCCGTGATTTGTCATAATTGTGATTATTATGGCTTACAGCTCATGAAAACCCCAAATCCACAATCTCAGAAAATGAGAATATTCCATGCAATCAATAAAACAAGGATTGTACATAGAACAATATCGGACCTCTGAAAAGTAGAAGCATGCATATGTACTCAGTACTTGGTTTGGGCCCCTTTTGCAGCAATTACTGCCTCAATACGGCGTGGCATGGAAGCTATCAGCCTGTGGCACTGCTGAGGTGTTATGGAAGACCAGGATGCTTCAATAGCGGCCTTCAGCTCTTCTGTATTGTTCGGTCTCATGTCTCTCATCTATCTCTTGGCAATGCCCCAGAGATTCTCTGTGGGGTTCAGGTCAGGCGAGTCTATCTCATATATTAGTTTCACCTTTTAAGTTGCATGACTGAAATAAATGAACTTTTGCACAATATTCTAATTTTTCGAGTTTCACCTGTATATTAGGTCAAGAGCTGCATACTGAGGTCCACCACCATTGCTAGGAAGACTCTCCTGACCCCAAGTGGTGGGCAATAGCAGCAGCTTACTGGTAACCAATGCAGATAGGTACTCTGAATCTGTGGGTAGGCTAGTTAGTTATACACCTGGGCCTAGGAAGCACTGGAGATAGGTCATCTAACTGCAAATTCCTAACTATTGCAAAGCCCACGGCAGCAACAATGCCCAACTGACATGCCCACCCCTCTGAATTGGATAAATAAACTTACCTAGCATGCATAATGGCTTTCTGGCAAACTTCAGTCTCCCCCGCCAGCCCTTATAACGACAGCAGCAGCCAGCTGCCCAAATTCTTAAGACAAATTCTGCTCCAAAAATAACCAGGGCGAACCTTTCCTGTAAGACAAAACGAGGACAGTAAGTGGACACTCATATTTTACACAAAAAGACTATGTATTCTAAATGATAGAAAATGTCACAGGAGAGGTGGGAACTCTTCACGGTTGGAGGGAAGATACGGGAAGGCAGAGTAAGAGCTACGGCAGGGACATCTCAACAATGGCTTCTTCAGTTTTGGGGTGGAGTGTTCCTTTAAAGCCCATACTGCAAGGGTTCACTGAATGTTTAGGTCTAGGGGGCATGGAAAAGAAAAATGTACTTACCTGCTAGGCCACATTCGTCCTCATGGCTGCTCCAGCAGTCTAAGGTCCTGGAATCAACAAGAATGATCCAGGGTCCACAGCCCTTCACTAAGAGTGATGGTGCCGAAAGACAGTCCACCATCGGAGCATGGGGGGGCGCTATCTGCTGGGTGACCAGAGGATCATGACAGTAAAAGCACGTCTAGTCTGCCATTGAATAGATGAGCAGGTGACCCCTTGCAGTGTGAGAAGTTTCTGATCTCCTGGACTTGGGCTTTAAGATTCACTAACGCAGAGCATCTCATCAGTTGGCCACATGTGACAAGTTTCCATTGTAACTTTCGATCCACAGAGAATGACAAGTAGAGTCAACAATGCAACGGTTCCATTTCATTTCATCCCAGGGTTTATTTTATGTATTTATTCATTACAGGTATTTCTGTATATCAGGGGTCTTGGATTAAAATTCATGGGGGTCCGGTCATTACAGGTTTCATCCAGCAGAGGTCCGAGTCTCATGCTGCTGCTATGACCCGGATTCTTCACATCTTGGCCTCACCCCCTTACATTACAGTTTTCCCTTTACATCAAAACCCCCTGCATATCACAGCACCCCCTTTTACATTGCAGAACCCCCTCTTCACATTGCAGCACCCCCTTTAACATTGCAGAATCCCCTCTTTACATCGCAGCACCCCTTTTTACATTACAGAACCCCTCTTCACATAGCAGCACCCCCTTTTATATTGCATAACCTCCTCTTCACATCACAGCACCCCCTTTTACATTGCAGAACCCCCTCTTCACATCACAGCACCACCTTTTACATTGCAGAACCCCTCTTCACATTGCAGCATCCCCTTTTACATTACAGAACCCCCTCTTCACATAGCAGCACCCTCTTTTACATTGCAGAACCCCCTCTTCACATAGCACCCCCTTTTACATTGCAGACCCCTTCTTTACATAGCAGCACCCCCTTTTACATTGCAGAACCCCCTCTGCACATCACATCCCTTTTATATTGCCGAAATCCCCTATTTACATCACAGCACCCCCTTTTATTTTGCAGAACCCCCTCTTCACATCACAGCACCCCCTTTTACATTACAGAACCCCCTCTTCACATAGCAGCACCCTCTTTTACATTGCAGAACCCCCTCTTCACATAGCACCCCCTTTTACATTGCAGAACCCCTTCTTTACATAGCAGCACCCCCTTTTACATTGCAGAACCCCCTCTGCACATCACATCCCTTTTATATTGCCGAAATCCCCTATTTACATCACAGCACTCCCTTTTATTTTGCAGAACCCCTTCTTCACATCACCTAACTCCCCTTTACAATGCAGCTCCTTCTTTACATTACCTGCTGTTTTACATCACAGCCCTCCTTTGCCTCCAAGTCCCCCCATTTTAAATCACAGCCCCCCCCCCCCCCCACCTTACATCACAGACCTCCACCCATTACATCAGTGTCCTCAGCCCCACTCCCTTGTATTGCAGTCTCCATCACAGCCCCCTTCTTTACCTACATTTCAGTCCCCTTCACTGCCCCCCCCTTTGTATCCCAGTACACTTTGCAGTACCCTTCCTCACACCCCAGTCCCCTTTACAGCCGTTCTTGCATCCCAGTACTCTTCAAAGCCCCCCTTACTTGAATCCTGGCCCCTACATAGTCCCCTTCCCAGTCCCATTTACAACCCCCCCCCTTACTTGCTGCTCAGTCCCCTTCACAGCCCCCCCCCCCCGTATCCCAGTCCCCTTCACAGCCCCCCTTCCTTGTACCCCAGTCCCCTTCACAGCCCCCCTTCCTTGTATTACAGTCCACTTCAAAGCCCTCCTTTACTGCACCCCAATACCCTTCACATCCCCCCTTCCTGGCAACCCAGTCAACTTCACAGCCCCCCTTCCTTGCACCCCAGTCCCATTTACAGCCTCTCCTTGCGTGCAGCCCAGTCCATTTTACAGCCCCCCTTCCTTAC